AAACACGGATGCAGCAGTTATTTCTGCAGGATTGACATCATCAGTACAGCCATTGGATGTGCGCATAAACAAGCAGTTTAAAGATCGCATTCGAGAACAGTGGAATGAATGGATGGTTAGCGGCGAAAAGTCGTACACAAAATAAGGAAATATGCGTGCTCCACAGTTGGATGTTTTGTGCTAATTTGTCATAACAGCCTGGAATGATATTGACGCAGACAGCAGTCAAGTCTTTCAAGTGTGGAATATCAAATTCATTAGATGGTATAAAGGACGACTACTTGTGGCAGGATGAGGAAGCCGAAGCTGAGAGCACACCATCTAATACGGAATTCGATCCATACGACGATTGCCTTGCAGATGTATCACAAGATGTCATTGATGAACTTATGATATCAGATGACGAACAGGAGGATTTTGAAGGCTTTTAAAAGGGAAACTGTCACGCTAGCAAAAAATACCATAGCTTGCAGTTATGATACATGTAACTCGCCAGTGACTTGCCTAGCACTTACTCTCTATTGTTTGTTAACTTCCTCCTATCATTGTCAAAAGATACTTAACCTGGCCAAGCAAACTACTTCAAAAATCGTCTGTGTAGAAAATAACTGCTAATCGACTAAAGGCAGCTGTCCTAAACCATTATTGCTCTAAAACAATGTTTTTATCCATTATGCAAGATGCATCAGAAGAGCCTGTCTTTGTATGACCTAAATAAAAAAGCCAGAAACATTTAATCCCAATTTAATGTATGAACTATGAGCCGAGGTTAGCAAAATTTAATTGTTATTATCCCACAAAAGATACGGATGCTGATTATAGTTAATGCGTTGTGAAGTTTAAATCAGCAAGTTGTTTAAAGACGACAGGAACATTTACGTAGAGTAAATAACTAAAGGTAATACGCATTCTGAGTTTTGTTTTGCATAGTCGAATAAACAATACAGCCACAGTGATGATGGTTAGCTTGAATAATAAAGATATTCTAATTAAGTAGCAATAACAATTTACATTAGGGCTCAATCTCTTTTTTTTATTTTTGACATACCCAGACAAAAAAAACTAAAATTTACATTAGAAGTGGGTTGACCTCGTTGTCGCAACTTGGTCTTGTGATCAGGGAGACTATGTAGAACGCACCGAG